CCGGCAAGGGAACATAAGTAATATAATAACTTCCCGACAAGGGAACAAGGATATCGAAATAGTCATCCCGGCAAGGGAGAATCAGCTATAACCAATCTCACATTGCTAGTACTCATTTCAATTAATGGAAATACTTAATCATAGAGGATCATTAATTAAAGTATACAAGGTGTCATTCAAAAACACAATAACTTTCAAGTTAAGACCCACGGNACTTCTAAAGCCTAAGGCATCCCGGAACCTACTAGAAACTCACCCGAGTCCTCGAAACTCTAAACCAAGCATGCACACTACCTCAAAAACACCCTACGAACATATTCGTGTGANACTTTCTAATCAGATTTCATTTTAATTTTTTTAAAACATTTTAGAGAACAATTTCACTTAAAAATTCATAACTCGGGCTGGGGACCTCGAAATTCGATTCCGGGCATACGCCCGAGTCCCATATTTTCCTACGGACCCTCCGGGACCGTCAAATTATGGGTCTGGGTTCGTTTACCTAAAATGTTGACCGAAGTCAAATTTATTCATTTCGAGGTCAAAACTTAGCAATTTTCACAAGATTTCACATTTAAGCTTTCCGACTACGTGCCCGGACTGCGCACACAAATTGAGGCGACTCTAAATTAGGTTTTCAGGGCCTCGGAGATACAGATTTCAATTAGAAACAGGTGATGACCCTTTTGGGTCGTCACACAAAATCTCATCACCATATAAAGAAAATAGAACAAAGCCCAAAAATACAAAGAAGGAAACTGCAAAAACCAAAACATATCATCAAAATCCCATCACCAAGAAACTCCGCAGAATTCACATATATGATAAATCCCAAAACCAAAGAGCAAATGAGAAAATGTAGAAATTAAGTAAAAACTAATGGAAGAGTGAAGAAGAAACTTAAAGAAAAGCTGGAATAAGGCAATAATCGAGCATAAAGACTTGAGACCAAAATCAAATTTCAACTCAAAAAGGGATCATCACCTGGTTTTTGCCCTTTCTCGGTGTTACGCTTTGATTGTGGTGAGTTGTTGCTGTACTGCTTTTTCTCTGTGCATGCCTAGAAAATTCCAAATTGGGATATTGAGTAGAAAGAAAGAGAAAAGGGAATTAAGATTAAGATGTTAAAGAAAAGAGATGCACACCTGGAGTCATATAACAATTACAGGTAGACTTATGGGTAGGCAAATAAAGCCACGTATATGTATGATACAACAAAAATGATGCTAAATGACTAAAGTGCTCTCAAGCTTTTTGAAATAGACACTAAACATACACGTCGAAAATCAAGCTCTTCTAATATATAGAAAATGTGACATAAAAAGAAATTTCAGCACCATGATAGTGAACTGATTTGAGTAATCACTAAATTGATTGGCACTTTTAAACTTGTTAACCTACTCCACACCTTCACAACTATCTTTGCAGCAAGTTTTGTCAGTAAAGTTCTGCAAGACTATGTTGCCAAATCTAATGATAAAGCATCCCATATACTATCACAGCCTATTATAAGCTTTCCCCAACATTTAATGCTACTAAAAGAAGAAAGTAATATCTCTTTTAAGAAGCTGGTACCAGCCAGCCCATCCTATTCCAAGCACGACTGCTCTCTTCTTCACTGATTCAAATTCACTCTCTTTATTTTATTTTTCACTTTCTACAGTTGACTAATTCATTCAAAAGCATCAACCACTAACATTATCTACAGAGATGATGAGAAAACCAAGTATACCACAAAGAGAACCTTTTTTTGTTAATAATATACACAAGAGAACCTATTCTAGTTAATAAAAGTTAACATGAGATAAAAGATACTTGAAGCTCCTAAAAGCATGTATCTAGAGAGTCGTCTTTGTTTCTTCTTTTAAGATTTAGGTACTCAATCTGTAGTATTTTTGTATCTAGATTTCTGATCTAAAAGCTTGTAAACTTTTGTCAAATTATTTATAATTTAGTACATTTTTGAAGTGGTGATAAATTACATCTAATTTTTGTTGTTGATAAAAAGTTAAACAAATAGTAACAACACTGCAATAGAGATATACTTGAAGCAAATAGAATATGTTTCAAAGAATAATTTCTTTAACACTGATACATAACAAATAACACACAATATATAATTTACTAATTTTGTAGAAGTAAATAATGTACCTTTTGACTTAGTGGATGATGGATGCGTATATTGCAGAATACCTATAGAAACAGAAAAGGGAAAAAAATAACTTGTTTCAGTCATATCATCAAACGCCTTGAGTGCAACAAAATTCTTCTACGTTCCATCGTTACTTTAGAAAATAATCACACTCATGTGTGGAATATACAAAGAAATATGAAAAACTTGATAAGCAGAAAGATTCCAATATCAGTAATCTCGGAGAAAATAGATCACAATTCTACTGCCAAGTTCATCCTCGAAGAACCTATTTCCTCTCCAAACAATCAACACACACCAGAAACAATAGTATATCACAAACATGCATATTTTAATATTATAGAAGAGTTGGTATCATCCGCAAACTCTAAACACAAATTGAACATTGCATATTTTCCTCAAAAAATATTTACAGTCAGATTTTGAGAGAAACAGAGACGAATTGTAACCAAATGGAGAAACTTTAGACGGAAACCAAGTGAAGGCCAAGAAGCAGCATAATACAAGTGAAGAATGATGTAGGAAGAAGTAAATACCTTTCAGCACTTTTTCGAGGGAGGAATTTTTATTTCTATCCCATGCTTATGCTTGTGGATTTTCTTTAATTGCAAAAATAAATAGAATTGAAATAGCTGAAATCCAGTTTAATAAAATTTGAAATTATTACTCATTTAGCAGGATACATATTAGTATTAGCGTTACCAATTACTGGTTAAAGAAAGATAAAAGTAACAAAAAGAAAAGTTTATGTGAATATCTTAATGGATCCAAGATCTAGGTCAGAAATTCGACGGATGATAACTTGGATCTCGTAAATTAATCAAAGCTGAAGCATGTGCGTTATGAAAGCTCATAATATTAATAGATACTTGTAGCATCACCTATTAACAAAGGAAAATCTAGCAATAACACATAAATGAAAGATACCATCCTTGATCTAACAGTCTCGTCAGCTCTAACCCCAATCGGTTTCGCAAACTGAAATAGTCTCGTCAGCTCTAACAGGTCTGGATTCAAAGCACCAAGAGCAACCAACATAGCCCACTGGGTAATTCATTATATATTGCTTGAAATACCAAAATCAGCAAAATCACAACATGGGAAGATGAAATAGAGATGATAGAGAGGCAGAAGAAGGCGATGAACAGATAGCAAAAAGTGGCCAATGATACGTGTCTACTCAGTTGCAGGGTTAAAGCCACGTTGCGTAGGGGGAGAATGGTTAGGCTTACTGTTATAGTACCAAGTGTAAGGAAAGTGAAAGTAAACACAGAGTTTTAAGTTAGTGGGCATTTGAGTTAATATCTGGACATTTGCATTCCGCATACCTCTTTTGCTTTGGTATGAAGATTTGCACACTTTTCATGATAGCAGTGATAGTTCAATATTCTAACTTTTGCAGGTTCACTGCTCTGAGAAGTAGTAGCTTAATTGGTCAAGGTGAGATAATAAAGTGTAAGATACAATAAAGTTTTCTTTGAGGTTTTTGCATCAAGCTTCAGTAGATTATGCTCTTAAATCTTTACGTGTTCTAAGATTAAATAGCTTCATAAAAAAGGATAGTCAGAGTACATTGCATCCATTATTTCTGCCAGAGTGGCCTGGATTTGGTATAAGTGTACTTGTTTTAAATACTCAAAACTAAGTGTTGCTCAAGAGGTAGAGTGATATGCTACGTGGTGGACTATTCAGTTGCATAATGAAAGACACGTATACGATACAAAAGTTAAATTAAAACACTGCAAAAACACACAATTTCTTTATACTTTGTTTCTCCGATCTCCATAGGCCCTCTGAGAATTGTGTGTTCTTGCTCTCAAGGTTGTGTGTTCTAGCTACAGGTTTGTTCCTCTTTTAAAAGTTTTTCTTAGACTAAAAGTGTAAGTTACCTATCTAATATCGAATCCAATTATGACAGTAAGTATTTAAATCATTCGACAACTAAATCAATAGAATTAGTAGGGAGCTATTCAAAATTTCACCTAATTTTTATACCGAAACTACTACTTGTTCTATTAGTACAGTTATAAAGAAAAAGCATTAGCAGATAGATATTACAACATATGGATTTCTTTCTCCTTTTACAACATAAAGAGCTCTTAGAAAAGGCAACTGGAAATGAATATGAGGCAGGGTATTTAGTGCACTCTTGGCCTTCACTACTCTCCTATATGCTTTACATGGACCACATAAATTAGGCAACTGGTATTTGGTATAAAAACATAAATTCAAGCAAGTAAAGAAACTGAATTTGTTTTCTTGATTTCAATTATCTCCAAAAAACAAAAAAATTCCCAATTTCATCCATCGAAATCCTAACTCGAAAATCTGTAATTAATTCACTCCGTTTTCATGAATTTGAAACAAAAAAGAAGAAGAAACAGATAGAAAATAATAAAATTTTCCAATTTCATCCATCAAAACCCTAGCTCGAAAATTTCCGATTCTTCTGTGGGTTAATTGATATTAAAGAGTAAGAGATTTAGTTCAAGATATTTGATAGAGAAAGTAGTAAAATTTAGCACAAATCACAGGTACAAACATAACTCACAGGCCAACAAATGCCAAAACCAAAGGGGATGGATTAAAAGCTAGAAACTAAGGAGTAAAACTGATACAGAGCAATAATCCAGCAAAATTACTTTGAATCAAACTCAAATCTGAACTTCAGAAAGAAATTTTTACCTGATTTCGAATTGGTTTTGTGATGGATTGTTTCTCTGGTACTTTTTCTTGTGTCTGCTTTGCTGAGGGATATATTGAAAGAGAAGAAAAGCAAATGTACACGTATATCTGCAGAGAGCACAAAAGGACACGTATAGAGCTACTGGGAAATGACTGAAGTGCCCTCAAGCTTCTTTAAAAAGATTCCAAGCAGACATGTCGAAAGTCTTGCTCTTCTAAAGTATAAGAAAAACAAAACGTATACCTAAAATGTGACTTTATTTATGGCGTCCGATTTTCTTAAATAAAACCCATTAATTTGAAATAAGAAGTGTAAAAATCAAGATAAAAATCTAAAAAAGAATTTACACAAAACGATGTCGGTGATACTTTGATAACAAGTGATATTCATTTATATGTATTCATTAAGAAACCATGATCTACAACATTTACAAAGGAATACAGAACTAACAACAAATTGAATAATCCAAGGAATACAATGGGTCATCATTACTATTAATCTTGTCATTGATCCCATTCGTTGATGTAGAGAAATCTGAATCTAAAACAAGTGGGTGCACATACTTTGAATTTTGAACTAAATCATGTTGTTTCCTCCGTCTTAGTGGATTTGAACTGAGCACAAATTACATGTAAACCAGAAGAATATCATAACATACTTCTGAAATAATATCAAATAACTACAATACAAATTGAAGGAGTATGATAGTTACATACCAAAAGAAGAATGTTTGTTTCTTAGGATCAACGCCATTAACAACAACCTGTAGAGCAGTCCAGAAAGAAAATTAATTCGCACATTAGAAAAAGCAAGACTAGTAAGATCAGTCAAGCAATTTCAAGTTTCTGAAATAAATTAAATAATAGGGAACTCACTTCTCAAACCTTTGCCTAACAAAGTTATAGAGAATGTTAGAATGTAACCAGGTATCATGCAAATAAAAGACATAACTTATTAAGGAAATTCACCATTAAACTCTATGGCTTTTCTTTTTCATCAAGAACAGTAAAGTTTCCTAAAAGATCAATTGCAGACACGATTACAGAAATCAAAATACCTAAAATAAGAGATAAGCATCCATCTCCTATAGTCATATAGAGAAACTACTTTGTAGTGTAGCAAATTTACGCTCAGGACAGATATTACAGACCATATACAATTCACCTCCGAGTTAAAAGAAAAAGAGCTAACCTCAGATCTCCACATGTCACTTCTCACAGCTACATTTATAGCTTGATATTCTTCATTTAACTACAAAAGATGCAATGCTAAATTTGACAGCTCACACAAAATACATAATTAAAATATAATTTGAAGCTTGCTGAAGTTTACCAACCCAAAATTCAAAGTTGAACAAATCGTGAGATGAGCACAAGTGATATCTCAAACCCTAAAACCAGAAAAGCAAAGATACAAAAATATTATACTGCTTATTTAATCAATCTAAATCAAATTTCTCGCCCAAACATTTCAGGGTGGATACAATATAGCTTAGTTTTGTTAAAGAAACAAAAGAAGATTATCCCAGTCTTTATCTTAAGGTTGGCACATTTTACCAAGTAAGGAGGACAGTGAAGTCCTCAGTCACTGCAAGTTTAGAGAAAATAGTAGTTAAGTAGCTTGAACTGCACAAGTTATGGTATAAAAGGAATTTAATCATGGAAAAGAATACAGCTCATATAGAAAACGTAATAAAAATTTCATCAACTTCACCATTCTAAAAGCCATTAACTGCATGCACACCAAGGGCTGAATATATCTTGATACACGTAGGATGTTGACAATTCAAACAGATTAGTTTGACATAGGAAAGACTAAAGTCCGACTAGTAAGTTGGAGACCTTTAGCTGCTTGCTCCTACAATTAATTTCATATGTTGTGCACTATTTTGCTTTATTATGCCCTGACTCTAACTTTGTGACTAAGAGATTGTACTCAAAATTTGACGTAAGCCTGCATTTTACCTGATCCAATAACATAAAGCATTCATGTCAGTAAAGAAAGGTAGGGTACATCAAAGTAAAGTGAGACGTCCAAGTAACAAAATACCACTGAGTTCAGGATGCAGTTTAGGCAAGAACATTTTATTTTGAGGAGAACAACAAATTGGAGCTGATCTTTAATTGGAAATGAAGCCTGCTCAATCATTTTAAATCCATGAAAATAACAAAAACCCTTTAAAACTAACCAACATAGAGTCTGAGCTGAGTTCAAAAGCACAAGAAACTAACCACCCAGAGCAAACCAAATATATCAGTGGTTGTCACGACCCCAAACCCGGACCCTATCGTGATGGCGCCTCTCGTGAATACAAGTCCAACCGACACTTTTCATTTCAGTTTTTAAGCAATTAAACAGTAACAACTAGGTCCAAAACGACATAAATAATCCAAAAGTGAGCAATTAATAATACAGAACAATTTGCGGAATACAACCCAACGCAGCCCAATACCGGGGGGTCACTAGTCATGAGCATCTAAAAATCCAGAATAAGACAAGAAAGTCTACAGAGTTCAATACAAATCTAAAACAAAGAGAAATAAGATAAGGGAAGAAGCTCTGGGCTGCGAACACCTACAATTACCTAGAGAATCTTCGGATCCGCCCGAGCTGGAAAGATCAACACTCGCTAGTGAGATCAACAATGCCTGAATCTACACATGGGGTGTAGGGAGTAAAGTGAGTACTCCAACTCAGTGAGTAATAATCATAAATAAACGACTAAGAGATATGAAAACACGTAAGGCACATACAGGCTATAATGAAGCAGTAAAACCAGTAGAAACAGTGAAGCAATGATAATGTGTAAAGTCATTTTTAATTCAATTCAAACTTCATAAAATGCCCTTTTAACAATTAAGCAGGTAAATGACAGACAAATAAGATAAATAAGCACATAAAGGATTGCCCCTCGGGTACAATGTCAAAAATACTAGCCCTTCGGGCTATCTCTCACATCACAATGGTTACCCGCTCTCACTGGGGGTGTGCAGACTCCTGGAGGGTCCCCTTACGGCCCAAGTGCAATATCAAGCCATCTCGTGGCATCATTACTAGGCTCTCGGCCTTATATCAACAAGCCACCTCATGGCGTACATATCTCAGGCCCTCGGCCTCATAATCATAATCAGTGTTTCCTCATAACATAGCCCCTCGGCCTTACTCAGTCAGAATCTCACAACCACTCGGGCAACAATAAAACATAGTGCTCAGCCCAAAATATCATTTAAAATATCATTTAAGTGTTAAGCAGAGTAAACATGGCTGAGTTATGAAAAACAGTAGAATATAGCATGACTGAGTTCAAGTATAAAGTCAAAACAGTGAGGAAATATCAATAAAAAAATCCCCTAAGGGTTCAAATAGTTGGCACGAGGCCCAAATATGGCATTCAGCCTAAAACAAGATGATAGCAAATAGATTTCAGTCAAATACACTGTAAAATAGTCATTCGGGATGGACTAAGTCACAATCCCCAATAGTGCATGATAACTAGGGATTTTGACGCATTTTATGCTCCTTCTTACTTGTGCTTTGATTATAAATTCATAAAAAATAGTCCCAAAAGGCTCATAAGTTGTGCTTGATTGCAGGTTTGATCAACAAAGTGACAAGATATCAAAGATAAGCTCAAAAGGAGTGAAACTTGCACAAGTACCAAAGACAAGACAAACTCAGGAAAAACAGGCCTAGTGCGGCCGCACTAGACTTTGTGCGGTCCGCACTAGAGAGGTTCAGAGACTCAACATTTCAGGCTTCGAAGCAATGCGGCCGCACTACACTTTGTGCGGTCCGCGGTGGACCTCTGCGGCCGCACTCCCATTCTGTGCGGTCCGCAGAGACAAGGTTCAGAGTGATGCCAAGTTCAGAGGTTCAAGCCTGTGCAGTCCGTGGACGAGTTTGTGCGGACCGCGCTAGAAGCCTTTGCAGCCGCAGTCCATTTTGTGCGATCCGCGGAGCCTGGGTTCAGAGAGTCAAGATTGCATGTTCAAGAGCCTAGTGCAGCCGCACTAACCCCGCAGGGGCAATTTTGTCCAGTTTTTCCAGCTTAGTATAAATAGAATCTTTTTCCATTTTTAGGGCATCAGATATTATCAGACGTTAGCTGCGCTCGTGAGAAGACTTTTCTTAGACATTTTGGGCATTTTACTTAGTTTTTATCATTGAATCTTTGTATTCACCTTAGCAATTAATTAATATGTCTTTATCTTCATCTATTTCTCTGTTTTTCTCTTCAAGTATTAGTAGCTAGACCCATTAGCTAGGGTTGTGTCTCAACCCTAGTGTGGGTAATTGATGGGTATTGTGATTTAAGGTTAGATTGACTATGGGTGTTTGTTATTTGGGTCAATTTCATGGTTTAATCTATGAATTAGTGGTTGCAAACACTAGTTTGTGCTTAGTTGACTTGGGTTCTTCTTGAGAAAGAGAGCCTAAGTCTCCGAAATNATCTTCATCTATTTCTCTGTTTTTCTCTTCAAGTATTAGTAGCTAGACCCATTAGCTAGGGTTGTGTCTCAACCCTAGTGTGGGTAATTGATGGGTATTGTGATTTAAGGTTAGATTGACTATGGGTGTTTGTTATTTGGGTCAATTTCATGGTTTAATCTATGAATTATTGGTTGCAAACACTAGTTTGTGCTTAGTTGACTTGGGTTCTTCTTGAGAAAGAGAGCCTAAGTCTCTGAAATTGATCCAACAAGGAATTGGGATGGACTCAAGAGAATTGGTAGTCCCAATTAAAGGGTTAAACCTCGAGAGAGTAATACCCGACTTGAACCTTAGTTGCTTGAGCAAATATGCATATCCAATTGGTCTTGAGAAAGTCAATTGGGCAAAATCATTCTTTCTACCGAGAGGTGTGAGAATGGGTAATATCGATCAACGATTATAACATATTCCCCAATCAAGTCAATCGTGTCTTAGACGCAATTACCCGTCAATTGGCCACCTAGGTGAAAGTCACTAACCTAGTGCCTTTTAGAATATTTGA